ACAGCAAATCTTTCTGGACTTGACCCGACAGAGGCGTCATAAACCTGTTAACTCTTCAGTACAAAGTCTGTGAGACGCTGTTCACACTGACGTGTAACTAGAACTGAAGCCATAAGTGCTGTGGAGCGAGAGACTTTAGTTCTTGGTTTATTCTGATTGTGCTGCTGGTTTAAAGCATTTAACCGTTTGCAGTCGTCTCTGATAAGAAGTAACTGTAATCTTGACTTTGGGAGAAACTTTTTGGGCTGCGTCAGTTAAAATGACTTTCAACTGTCAAAGTAGTGAATGGTAATAAAGTGTATTTGTAATACACTTCTGACTTTGGAAAGGCTGGTTTTAGTGAACAGGACTGACAGAGGATTTCAAAGCCAAGTTGTGTAAAAGTTCTAGAAACGGTGGACAGGAAAACAAACGGAGTAAGCCAGACAGCTGTTTCACACTTCTTCACATCTGGCTCATTAAGCTCCATTTTGGAATGAATAACTTTGTGGAACAGATTTTCTGTCTCCTGGTTTAAAACTTTGAGTGACATGTTGTTCTTGACTTACCTGGTTACCTGGAGGTGCTGAAGCCCCGCCCACAATGTAAAGCAGGCCAGAAGAAATGAAGTGAAACAAGTCTGCCTGTTTAAAAGTGGCAGAGATGGCGCTCTTTGAAGTCTGCACTTTTCTTCATCGTTCCTGAATGAGCTCCGCCCAGTCCGCAGCACACTGTTAGCATTACCCAGAATGCTGTTCAGCAGGGCCATTTTAGAAATGCGTAGTTTGTGTTAGTAAGGGTTGCCATGATGCCATCTGATGACCCCTCTGGTGCACGAGCGCTCGCTGCAGTCTCCTAATGATGCGCGTTTCTTCTCAGGGAAAAACGTCCACCTCAGGCTTTTATTGGAGTAGAAGCAGCTGAAACAGGAAGCAGAGTAAACTGCAGCGCGCTCCAGCAACTGTGACGCCACTTTTGGTGCACACGGCTTATTAGCAAGGGGCAAAGCAAGCATAAACCACATTAACTTATCATTGTACATAAACCGTATGATTAGAGGCCTTAAGTGAGAAGAATATGGTTAATGCAGCACCTGTCAGTGTGCTCGTTAGCGCGCCTAGCGGCCAGTAGCATAATGTACTTAAACCGCTTGGGAAGCCACAGGTGGTGCTTCGGCGTTCTCCTGCATTGAGACCTTAAAGTCCAAAGAAGAGGAGCGGCGTTTTGTTGCTCCTCATCATGAAGCTTCTTCATAAACAGACGTGGACTCCTGTGGGCCTTGTTGGTGTCTGTGGTTCAGACTTCTCTGGGTCAGCTGACACGAGTCACGACCTCTGAGCTCCGCTGCCTTCCTGCTGCACACAGAGGCGTTGTTGATAACCGTGGGCTGGGATTCCCGTTTCACAACAAGCGCTCTGCGAGCTTCCGTTTCCTGTTACTCGCCGTCACACGGCTGTGGGGCTGATTATAGGTCAGGCACTGGATACCTGCTGCTGTGGGAATCTGAAAGCTGATCACAGCGCCGCCGTGAAGGGCACCTTTCTCACCGCTGCAAGAACAGGAAACGGCGGAGACTGAGCGCTCTTACACTCTTACCTGCTGTGGTCCAATGAGTATTCACAGGTATTGTCTGCCCCAGTTGCCACGGCAACAGCTCAGGTAGGGGCTACCTTTTGCGTTTAAGCGAGGATCTGCTGAAGAGGAGCCAAAAGGTTACAAAGCTTGACTCGGTAAGAGGAAAAGAAACACGCGAGGCTGCTGTGAAGTGGACATCACACTCATTTCTATTTTTAGTGTTATACTAGAGCAGCTCTTCATGATTGACAGATCAAAATAACCCCTTGGGTACGTCCCCTGTCTGAAACAAGCTGAGCTGGAGCTGAGTGCTGTGTTTAGGATCTTCCTCAGTGGCGTCAGCGCTCATCTTCATCACACTGCTGTGTCTCAAGTGAGTGCAAAAGTGAGTTTTACTGTGATTCCAGTCAGAAAGAGGCAAGACTGGGCCATATCATACCGTTCACGGTGATACCGGTGTAATGTTGGGCAACCATAAGAAAATGAAACATGGCGATAGAATGTGGGTAAAACACGCATGCGCAGCTCCTTTGTTTACATACACACATGGTGGCGACGCAGAATGAGGAGAGCGAAAGTGGATCGTTGAATGAAACAGATGAACCAGAACTGGTTTGTAAAAATGCTGCAGCTTCACTGGTGTGGAACTGGTTTAGCTTTCGTCCGTCAGATACACAACAAAGCACTATTTTTGGTAGCGCATGCTAGCGGGCCGTCGTTATTACCGTGTTGTTTGGAAAATACGGCGCACTTAAAATCAAACCTTAGATTTTTCTGAAAGTCGACAGAGCCCCTTATAATCCCGTGTGCCTTATGTATGAACTCTGGTTGTGTTTACTGACCTCGAAATGATTTTATGTGCACGGCGCTCGAACATCTGTCAAATGTTTCACACGACTTTGCTGAGCTACGAAGCCGCACTTGATGGATTATCGGAGCATTACGGCTGTCGTAGGCGGAGCCTCGCGGAGTGATACGTACTGTGCTTCAACATAATATTACAGTATTGTGTGTGTATAAGCTCTTTTTAAGTTTTGTGGATGTTATACATGGTTATGCTGAGGATATGTCGGCCAGTTTCCACTGGAAATGCCTTTTGGTTAAACTGTCAGACAGGAATTTGCACTGTTACGTGTTTATATAACTTTCATGCAGATAAAACAGCTGCTTGTTTAAGTGAAAACACACTGATGTTTGTTTTTTGCACTAATAAAGTTGTGGAGTTGTGAAGTATTTTGTCTGGTGTCAATTATATCGTTATCGCAAATTTTCAAATGTATATCGTGATGAATATTTTTGGTCCTATCGCCCTGCTCTAGAAAGAAGCCAACACGAGTCGGTTATCTCTTCTGGAACTCTGCGTGTTATATCTGAGCAGTTGCCTGTTAGACGCTCACATAAGGTCTCAATCAAAGACCCATTTCCAGTGTTTCATTTTCTACGCCTTCAGAAGCAGAGCTGTAGCTAAGACGACCTGCAATCACCCAGACTGGTCGTTGGAAGGAAGTAAACAGACGATTTCGCGCGTGTCACGTCCTGAATATCTGGCCCTGATAGCCGTGAGTGGTCATGCCTGCTCCTGCTAAATATAGCAGCGCTTGCCTACACGAAGCAGCAGTTTGTGCCCGTCCACCCTCCTCTTCCTCCTCCAGTCACACAGCAGCAGCTTCAGTCTGTTTTCTCCCTCTTCATGTCTGTTCTCAAATAATCAGAATTATAAACATGGGCTAGCAGTGAGCCGTGTCTTTTTATGATTACCCATTCTCTTTTAAACATAACATTAAATGTTAATAACTCACAAGGTTCGTGCCGAGCAGCTTTTCTTTATTTCACTTCTGTGGTTTCCCCGCAGAGCTTCAAAAGTCCATCGAGCAATCTGTCATGTTTCCTAACCTTTTGTTCCTGGCTGGTCAGCTAATGTTCATGAAAGTTAAACACTGTTTGTTTGCTTTAGTTGGTGTAATTATACCAACTAATAGAGCTGTTTATACTAAAACAATGCTAATAACAGGTTTATTAGCCTCATGTGACTTAAACTTCATGAAGTTGATGTTTGAGGACAGATTTTATTGTTTCCATCGGGACTTCAACACAAATGTGCTGGTTTAGTCTTTGTGTCCAGCTCTCAGCTGAAGGCCTCTGTAACTAAGAGCAGCCTCATCTACTCTGCCTCCTGTCCCACGATATCTTCTTTATAAGTTCTTTGCTTTGGTCTCTGTTAGACCACGTCCTTACAAGTGATGACTCAATCTCAGCTGCAAGGGCTGCAGCTGGTGAAAGACTTTGTTTCCTGACAGGACGAAGGCAGTAAACACAGAACATATGCTCAAAAAGCTTATTAGCTTACATACCTGTGCACGTTTCCTAACATACATATTCTTCAGCTTGTGATTGTAAATCAAAACAAAGAGCCAGTAAGTCGAGTGGATTGTAGTTCAGACCTGGTTGCTTTGTTCCTCGTGTCTCTGCGTCTCTGCGGCTTCAGAGATGTTGACGCTGCAAACCGTGGCGTTGGTTTACCTCCTGCTCGTGTCCTGTCAGCAGGGATGAAATTACAGCTGTAGGTCTCTCTGTTATCCCTAATGATCCGGCCTCTGCGTGCTGCCGATGTTTACCCTCCCAGTGGTGCGATAGTCGTGACTCAGTCTTTCCCACAGGATGGGTTTTTAAACTCCTTCCTGAATCTAGGAGCCTCATGGCTTCACGTCCCAAAGTTGGAAAGAAATTCACTACCTCGCACGAAGCATGATCCAACCCCAGCAACACCTTTCTTCTACTCGTATAATTAAGACAAGACTTTACAAGGTTTTTCCCCCTCATGAATGTGCCAGTCTGAAATTTTATCTGGTCTGTTTGCCAGTGTTTGCTTTTCTTTTTTTCGATTATAAATTGCCTGTTGACTTCCCAGACTTTCAAAATATGATCTGAGTTGTCCAGTAGTACGCCAGTGGTTTGAAAAACTCCCAAACAGGCCTGTTTAATTGTTTTTAGCCCTTCAACATGACAATTCAGTGTTTCTGATTAATTTAGAATCTCCCAGAATGCATTCCCATACTGCCAAAGCAAACACAGGTTATAAATGTAGGTCACTGTGTTTGTGTGTTTCTCCTAGCAACCAAAAAACCCTTATTGACTGTGGAGGTGGAGTTCGTGTACAGTGAGGCTGTGGTAAGGGAAACTAGGCAGGCGCTGTAGTGGCTAATCTCATTAGCTGACTGACGCTGGGTCCGGTCAGCATTGTCTGCCGGCTCAGATCCAGGTGTCAACAAGGTAAATCCAGGTAACCTACCTGGCTAATCACCAGCAGGGCCTGCTGCAGTGATTTTTCAGCGCCGTATGTTTGAAGGGAATCCTTAAAAACACAAGTTTTGGTGAAGCTTTCATTTATTTTTAAGTCAAAGATTGTTAATCAGGTGGCTTTTTGTGTCTCTTCGTTTTCTGTGCAGGTCATCTGGTGAAGACTTCCGAAGCTTTTAGGTGGAGGAGTGGCAGACAGCGCCACCCAGGCGTGCAGAGTGGGACCCCTTCCCGTCTCACATAACCGACGACCAGCTTCCCGAGGCCGCCACCATCGTCCCCAGATGGACTCCAGACTCTGAGAAAAGAGCGAGGCAGTCGGGACCGAAATCAAGCGAAGGAGAGGAGGCGCAGGGGGAGGAGCACACGCTCGCTGGAGCAGGAAAGGGAGGGCTTTGGTAGGGAGCGGAGAGGACACTGGGCTCCACCACGATGTCGTCAAATAGGACCCAGAACCCACACGGACTGAAACAGATAGGCCTGGACCAGATATGGGACGACCTGCGGGCTGGCATCCAGCAGGTGTACACGCGGCAAAGCATGGCCAAGTCACGCTACATGGAACTCTACACGTATCCTGTGTGACTGCGGGTGCTGCTGAGTGTGTGTGATCATACAAACCAGCTTTATTAAGTGTGATAAACCAGTGTGTCACTGAGCAAGAGGCAGGAAGGGCATTTAGGAGCAGGCACAATCAGTAAGCATTCGGAGTAGTACTCTGACACTGGCGTAACAGGATCTATCTAGAGGCAGTAAAGCTGGAGATTTCCGTAGGTGTGGAAGGATTATTCATGGTTGGCTTCAGCTGCTCCGGATTGGCTCTGGCCTGCTCAGATCTTAGGTCCTCTTTTGGCAGGACGAGGCAGCTGGCCGTCAGCTTGCAGTCGCTCGAGTTTGCTGCCGTGCTGGGCTGTGTTCGCTGCAGGTGTCCTGCGGTGGAGTCTGTCTCTGACTCCCCTCCAACCCCCACCACCCTCTCCTCTTTCTTTAAAATACATATTTATTTGTTTTATTTACAGGAAATCCCCTGTACAAAGCCACAGGTGCAGTAACTGATGTTTAGCAATAATTGTGTTAAATCATCAGGTTTCTGTCTGCTCTGCATTATTGTGAATAAAGCGCCTTGAGGCAGCTGTTGTTGTGATTTGAACTTTAAAAACAAAATGCAGATGAAACATTGAATTACATTATTAACCAAAATCACCCTGATCAGGATTTTTGCTTCATTCAAGCAGCCATAGCTTCTGTTCTATTGCCTCTAATCATTAATGTGGCTGCCTTAAGAACTGCAATATCCCTTTAGTGCTAAAAGTTAACAAGCTAACAGCAAATTTTCCGTGTGTGTTTGTTTCAGATGGTTAATCTCACTAGCGTGTTACTTCCTTTTCTCTGAAGCACAAACTTTTTTTCTAGTCGTTTGTTCCATTAATGAGTTTCACACACGGAGCAAACAGGAAGCAAACCTTTGATTCAGAGCAGTGTTTGTGTGGTTGAAGTTGTGTTTGAAAGAATTTCACTTTCTGATGAAGACATTTGGCTCCATTGACTCTTTATTAGACGCTCGGTTATCCAGACTTACAACGAACTGTAAGACTAAATAGAAAATAAGATTTGGTTTATTTCTTCCACACGTTTAGAAAGAAGCCAAGAAACAAACCACAAACAAGGCAGACGCTGTACGAGTGGCTCCACGGCTGAGATGGGTGGCGTATATTCATAAGCCTGCAGTGATTTCATTTTCAGGGACACTGAAGGGAAGAACATGGAGATTTCTTAATCATAAATAGAAAAACCATCAACATGTCTTCAGTGGTAATCTCGTGGCATCGCTGCTTTAGCTCTTCAGACGTCCTCACACAGGTTTTGGTTTCTAAACAGACGCTGAGAGTTACGAGTCCAGTGATCAGATGTTGGCGTTCGTTACGATGCGCCGCGTTCAGTGACAGACTGAAACCTCCGACAGCCGTTTGGAGGTTTGGTGACTGTCATACAAACACATCAGCACAGGGAACATGTAGGATGAAGGTCACGTTGTTCTCAGTAGAAGTTCATGTTTAGGGTCCCTGGTGGGCGGGGCCAAACAGACCTTCAGGGAAAGAATATCTGAGCTTGACAACAAGGTTAGTCTTTGATATGCTGCTGCAGGGTTTGGATTACTCACCGACCCTGAGCTTGATGTTCACACTGTAATCTTCCCTCCAGCCTTTGAGTAGGTTTTAAAAATTGGTTTCAAAAAGCTTTATAAAGTTTGTCTGTGCAAAAGAAAAGGTTTAAGTCCATAAAATGCGTCTGCAGGGGGCGTGAGCGTAAAGTCTGAAGAGCTGATGATCCCCTCGTGCACCTTTCCTGCTAAAGGTTGCACATTTCCCTGAAGTATGAAATAAAGTCCACCCAGCCGTGGAAGCTCGACGCTGCGGTCGTGTCCCTGCAGACGGCGCAGGTTTAAACTGGGCTCTGTGCACATGTGCTGTGATTTCATGCAGAAAAGAGAGAGCGACAGCCGAGGACATTCCTCACATACTTGCTCTTGATGTTACGAGCAGCCAGATGTGAGGAATGCAGCGGTTACCCTGATGTGACGTGTGCACCTTAACCCTTCGATCAGACATGTATATAACTATTGCACCAGCGTCCACCAGTCCAGCCAGGGCCGGGGCTCCGTGCCTCCAGCAAAGCCCTCCAAAAAGTCCACCACTCCAGGCGGGGCTCAGTTCGTAGGCCTGGAGCTCTACAAGCGGCTCAAGGAGTTCCTGAAGAACTACCTGACGAGCCTACTCAAGGTGAGTCCATGGTTACCAGTCGCAGCCTCACCGAGGGCACCACGGACACCTTTCAACTCCTCCTCCCTTTGCTTTCCACGTTATCGTCCGCAGGATGGCGAGGATCTGATGGACGAGTGCGTGTTGAAGTTTTACACCCAGCAGTGGGAGGACTACCGTTTCTCCAGTAAGGTCCTTAACGGGATCTGCGCCTACCTCAACCGCCACTGGGTCAGACGAGAGTGTGACGAGGGACGCAAGGGCATCTACGAGATATACTCGGTAAGTCTGACAGCTCCTTTCTGTTTGAATGCACAGAGTTAAAAATGCAGTTCCAGCAGGACCAAGTTAAATACGTCACCTGTCCCCAAACAGCAGTTACACAAAAGCTTTACCTGACGGGTCGCGTAGGAGCAGATTCATAGCAAACACTGTTTTATTAAACTTGTGGTTCTCCTTTCACTCTGCCTCCTCTCAGCTGGCACTCGTGACCTGGAGGGAGTGTTTATTCCGACCCCTCAACAAACAGGTGTGCAGTTTTCCTTCTTAAAGAAACAGCGCAGTGATTAAAATGCTGACTTCTGCATGTTTACTGAAGCGAACCTCTCTCCCTGTCAGGTAACAAACGCCGTTCTGAAGCTGATAGAGAGAGAGAGGAACGGTGAGACCATCAACACCCGGCTCATCAGTGGTGTTGTCCAGTCTTATGGTAGGTCCTCGAGTGCAACAGGGGAGTAACCAAACACGAGCAGGTTATGAGTATCAGCAATGATCACACAGACTGAGAGCTGTGCATAACTTTCAGGCTGATGTGAAATTCTACTTGGTTTGGTGGGAGCTGTGAAGGGGGGCTGTGGAGACTCACAAGCAGCTACTCTGAGCGTGTGTTGGGTTTAACATGAGAAGCTGTCGGTGATCAGAGCAGCAGACTGTCTGCAGTGTCTTCACCTGTCTCACTTATATAAATACATGACATCTACCCATGCTGGAGGCTGCACACGTGTTCACAGGAGCTCAAGTCTGACTAATTAAACCCAGCTGGAGATTGTTCTGGCTGATTTTTGTGCAGCTGTTGAATGATTTGAATGATTTCAGAGTTAGTAGCCTGACATCTATTCTGCAAAGGTCACACGTACATTATGTTTAAGATTTAACATGAAGATGCCTGCTCACAGCTGGGCGATGCTAACCACAGCAGCACAGGGCTGAATGAAGCTGGTTGCTCGCTGTGACACGTGGTGCTGTCTGCGAGCAGATGTTACATTATTGTTGTTTTAAATGAAAGGATCGTTTCAGACTAACTTAGATGTGTAGACACTTGTTTTGTATTAACAGGATGTGGATGCTTTCATTAATCCCACCTCTGTCCTCCTGCAGTCGAGCTGGGCCTGAACGAGGAGGACGCCTTCGCCAAAGGCCCCACGCTGTCCGTGTACAAAGAGTACTTTGAATGTCAGTTCCTCACTGACACAGAACGTTTCTACACGCGTGAGAGCACAGAGTTCCTGCAGCAGAACCCCGTCACAGAGTACATGAAGAAGGTAGGCGCTGTGCTGTCCAGCTGCAAACAGCTGTGGGCGAACGAGCAGAGACACGTGGAGCTTTTAGCGCCGAGTCGTGACCAGAGTCTGTCTGCTTCCTCCGTGTGCGTTTCCTCAGGCGGAGGCCCGTCTCCTGGAGGAGCAGCGGCGTGTGCAGGTTTACCTCCATGAATCCACCCAGGACGAACTGGCCCGAAAGTGTGAGCAAGTCCTGATCGAGAAGCACCTGGAGATCTTCCACACAGAGTTTCAGAACCTGCTGGACGCTGACAAGAACGAAGGTAACCGTGTCCTTTCCCTGCTGGATGGGAGAGACGGCACCGTGACGCTGACAGGGACATATTTTTGCAGCTCTGATCCCCTCTGGTGTGTGTGTGTGTGTGTGTGTGTGTGTGTGTGTGTGTGTGTGTGT